AGTTATGATCAGTCGGAAACTTCAATGTAGCATCTTCTATGCGCGATTCCACACGCTATCGACTTTTTACGAAAGCCAAATCATCCATTATTGATGATGAGCGTAGTTTTGCGGAATCGACCTTAGCAAACAACCTCCGCATTACCATCACCCTTAATGTCGTGTAGAAAGTCATTGTAAGTGGCTTCCTCAAGCTGCACCAGCTCTTCCGTAGTCGGTAACAGTGCCAAAAAACATTAGTTCTGGCAATTTTTAAAACCAGTCATTGCATCCACAATACGTGGACCAGCGTATTCGAATGCTGCAATTCCATCATGGAAAGTAGTACGTTGGACTAACTCACCCGCGGACTCAACCGCATCCAGAGCAGGAGTTTCAGTACTACAATCATCAAATTCTTTGATTACTTCAGATATGTGTGCTCAACCACAGAGCCGGTAGGAGCATCAGTTATACCCACTGACTCACACTCCCAGTCGACCACTGTATTAGTGGAAGTAGTGGCATACACAACCGCAGTCGAATACTTCGACTTTCCAGTACTCACATTCTTCCGTCTTGAAGGGGGCAACAGCCGGCATTTTGCCCTCGTAAATTCTTTCTGTTGGGCAAATCGCCATGTCCATCGGAGATCTATTCGCTTTCAAGTGGCCAGTTCCGGGCATCACTTGATCTGTCGACCCATTTCCTGAGTGGCCATCAGTGGTCACTTCGTACGACTTCGTATCTCCCTGAGCTGGGAAATGTCAATTGCATGACATATAACAATGAAGTGTGGATCATTACCAGCAGCATACGACTGCCGAGCGCCTGAACGCTTCTTGCGGTGATTTGTGAATGTGGATTCATTACTCCCAAAAATTTCTCTAACTCCGAGAGCTACTCGCATTCGCTTTCGATCGCCAGTCAATCCATGGCTCATGCTTCTCAAGCCACGGTATACTAGAAATCAGGTCATTTTCTTTGTCCCTTTGAGCACTGAGACTTCTTTTCTCGAGTTGAAGTCTTTAAACTTCAGTTGAAGATTAACCGTAATCTACTTCACGGTGACCACCGCACCAGCGGCCAACTTCACGAGGATAACACCATTACTTCTATCTAGTGCATCCGAAAGCACGCAATCATTTTCAGCAACACTTTGGTTTCCAACATGATTACGGCTCGCGCAAAACTCAATAAAGAATCCAAAGACGACCGTATCCCTTCAAATTCGCTGTAACCACGAGGAGATCACTTCGGCTCGTGTCGTTCGCAAAGGATAACGATCCTTCGAGGTCTAAATTCTCGTGAGTGATTCTACCACCACACTCTCAAGAGTTTTCTTTTGCCTAAGTAGACGCAGGGCGGTCTACTGGGTACCGGCGTTCTCGAAACGCCCTGCGTTATTAGTTTCACGTGGACCGGAAAAATTACAACGAGAACCGTATAGAGAGATTCGTCTCCCAGAGGCCAATACGGTGGATGTGACCAAATTGTTAACATCCATAATAGCGGTTTTGCCGCCCACAAACAGCCACAACGCTGAGAGCCGTTGGTTCTGGATTTCCAGTAGTAGCATTTACTTCTACAATCGGATTGATTGATTGACCGCGTGCTTGGCGTAGGCAGTAGCTCTAATGCAATGCAGTCATAATTTCATTTTCTATAGCCGTCGGACTCTGGCGGAAGGCTTCAGTCTTAGGATGACCATGAGTGAGTCTCTCCACAAACACAGTGACCATCATTGCCTCTGGCGGTGATGCACTCGGCATACTGGCACGAAGATCACAGAGCTTCTGTACATTGACGAACAATGTACCGTTATCTTGATATCACGACAAAAACTTCGACCGTTGTCGGAATGCCACATTCGGCGAAAGGAACATCGATTTCATAACCGTCTTCAACTCTTACCATATGGCAAAATAGCCGGGGCAGTTGACTTCCCATGTCATCGACCAATCTTTCGCACAATCATCTTAGTGCGACATGGCGAAGGCCACTTGACTGCGACCATTACGAATTTGAGCCATCGCGATAGCGATGTCCATTTCTCGCTGCCAAAACACAAGATTTTTATTATCGTTTTCGCGAAATCGTTTTACCTTGAACGGGACGCTCCGTGTGTTCCGACGCTATTACCACCACTTGTGGTGGAGGTGACGGAACTGGCGTCGGTATGTTCTGAGATAAAAGTCCCAATAATTGTTCATATGCAGCATGATTTGCTAAGCGCTGAGTTATTGCTTCTTGATCCAATTGGAGCACGGCGAAGACCGTGCGGCCTCCGAATAAAGCTCCCAGCTTCACCACACTTTCATTGCGAGTGTTTTAGGAACAAATATTCCTCCCTGTTGATCAGAGGACGATCACCGCCTGTGGTGTGCACATTTTCCATGGTTAACTCCATCGAAGTAGTCGGCGTTGGAAATGCTACTAGTGCTACCAAGTGTAACGGTAATAGCCGCCTGTATACGCACAACTATTGAAGAAGAATCAAATCGGATAACACGATTCTTTGCGTATTGCTCACTTCCGACGCGCTGTTGATTTACGCGAAGGACTTAAGTGACATTTAGTTGGTAAATAGGCACTAAGCCTCCCCTAAACTGATAAGTGGCTAAGCGGTAGTACAAAATTGAGTGATATACAACTATGCGAGATATATGGTTAATGTTAACCACAACTAGAAGTATGTGGTTCACTCAACATGCGAATTCAAACTGATCCCATTACAAGAGCGGTCATACGTAACGAACGAAACAATCTTTAATCACATGTTCATTAGCGGCATGTCGTTGTTTCCGGAGAATTCATGTACGCAAGAGTAGAACCATACGGCTCGATTCATTGCTGACGACTTGAGCAGTGGAATGAAAATCCAAACAGCTCTTGGTCTCTCTATTGAAAGAGCAGTAACCGATAATGTTGCCACTAACAGATTTGCATGGAAATTTTTGAAGTCAAAAATATTCAGGATGTTCTTTCAAGGGCGGCATCGCCTTGCAAGAGACAATTTTGCAGCCACCAATACCAAGCGAGAAGGAGCTGTTGCAGACTATCTCGAAGGTTATCCATTCGAATATTTGCTGACATTTGCTTCTAACTGCAAAGAAGCCGTATTTTTTCGTATCACCACCAAATCAAGGCAACGCTTATAACTAACAAAGATATAAGGAAGTTCCGACATTGATTCATCCTGCCGCCACAAGATGGGGTAGCCTGCAGGACTGCTTTCTCAAATTGCTTAAATATCAATCAATTTGAAACAGTATTGTTAAAGACCGAAATTTTAAATGCGGTACAACCGAGTGTTCAATATCATTACCGATACAAATTTCGTGCGTTATCTCGAGAAAGGTATTGGTATCTTAGAGCCGATTGTCAAAGCAATTACCTTATCTCAGAAAGTATCCGGACCTGCTTTTGAAGTACACCGCGCATTGAAATTCGACGTTTCACAACAATTCGGACGGTAACAAGTTTCCAACCTATACTTCAATTGGTCCAAGCGCGTCTTGATTTCTTAAACGGCAACGGGATGGGACTAGCTTATATTCTGGGTCCACACTATCTGGGAGATGCAATGACCATAAGAGAGAAGAAAGTTGTTGTTGACTCTCTGTTTGATTTAGTTGCAGACGAAGCGCGCGAGGCGATATATCCTGTTTAGGTCAACGCATACAAAGACCGTGATGAAAACGACTTCCTGTTGTTGAAACAAACCAAGAATGCTCTCCAATATGGAATGCGATACCATTTACTACATTATATTGTCCTCAAGGTCTAGTTGGGTTGCGTGAAGTGCCGCGTCTAAAAGGAACTTCTGGGTTTATCTATTCGAAAGCTGTGGAATTCATTGAAGTACGAAAGTGTTAAAAAGTAATTTTTATTGGTGATCTGGGTTTATGGGTTAATTGTCTTGGAAAACATTAGTCCCAAAATTCTTAATGTTTTGAATATGGGGTCAGAAACGCAAATCCAAATGCTTATTACAATTTCCGAAGATCATTCATCGCCGATAGCTTCTACGCCATCAATTCGCCAAACCTAATATTATTCTTTGTCAGAACCAGCCTACGCCACCAATTTAACTATCTGATATACTTCTTCATCAGAATAGCCATAATCAGAAGCGTACAGCAGCCCGCCGACCTGAGGGCGTTGAATGATTTAAGAAAATGTGAGTCATTGCCACCCCTGACAAATACCGATTGTTTGGTATTTATGAATATTCACAAAAGTGCTTTGGGGATTTCTGCGTATTTTGTACACATCAGTCCAGGAATGGTCGTTATGTTATATGGAGTAAAATTTGGAGTGAACAGCCGTATTCGTGATCCCTCTGTAAGGGAATTTTAAAAGCAGATACCTCTCAAATTGTACCAACCCCTTTCGACAGTATCATCGTTTTTTGCGTTGCTTCCTAATATCTATCGTCATCGATCCAATGGGCCGAAATTCTGCAAAGATGTACATTCAGCCTAACACATAGAATTTTCAGGTTAGATCGATCCATTAAAGCAACGATAACATTCGATGTCTATCGAGATAGACATATAATGCGCTTTTAACACTATGAAAAGCCTGTCCATTTTTTTAATGGAAACCGTTGTGCTTGCGAAATAATAGGGAATCATGTGCGACTACGCCGTGACAATTGTTTAGGTCGATCTAATAGCTGTATTGCTGACTTCCCGTATCTATATTATATTTTAACCAGAGGATGCACAATTTGGTGACAAAATGCGATTATAAGCACAAACACAGCTTACTAATGACCAGCGTTGGCCGAAAGAAGTAGCACTCTGGTTGGTGAAGCCTTTGTCATTATATACGTGAAACCAATGCTGGTTTTGCTTAGGTAATATCATGTTTTGCTCAATCAAGAGAAGTAGCTATGTATATAGGTTTGCTGGTAGATAAAAACTCAGAAGCTAGTTTAAGACGCAGCAACTATTTTTGATGGAGCATATGCCTAAAAGTGCTTAAAAATAATGTGCGGAGTGGCTATCTAGCCATCAAGTGAATGCGTACGCGCCACCAGCAAGAATGACCAAGACCACTATCACCGCGACGATTATCGTAGCATTAGAGTCAGCTTGTTGTTTTTCAAATGCTGCAGATGCATAAAATAACATAATTACGTTAGCGCAAATTAGAGTCCATTGCCTTGCTAGCCGTACTGTTGCCAGCTATTGCATATCTGGAGCGAAGTTGGGCTGCACTGAGGTCACAGTCGCGCACGCTGCCTCCACGTTCGTAGCGCTGCCGCAGATCGCTTGCACTTAGACCATCATCCATAGCTTTCGGTGCTTTCTGGCTGCTTATAGCGCGAGTATCGGCCTTTTGCTATTTCTGATCTACTGAAGATAGCGGTTGCTCCATGCGACTAGGCTTGACTGAGAATAAAAATCATCAAGGAATTATATGTTTAAATGAAATATTGTAACGACTTTAACAAATTGTGCACACAATGTCACTCTTCACCAAGAAAGACCTGGGGCTGTTGCTGCCAGACGATACTCCAGGCGACCCCGTGTCGCTGCGCCACACCAATACTAAGTATGTGGCCATCTGTCACTGTCTTTTTTCTCGCTCAACGCCCTCTGACGCTATTGATTATTCTGCAGAGAGATAACTGAGGAATTCAAACCTTTAAAACCTAAGGTAGACTTGTCCAAAAAGGTTGCGCGCTATCGAGCAGGACATGTACCTAAGTTTGCGAATGGCCACGAAGACGAATGTGGCTTTGTCACTGCCAAAAGCAAAGTGCAACTAGACCCAGCGACAAAAGTAGAGCACAAGCTGGCTCCACATGGAGTCAATAGGCGAAAACGTGTAGAGGCACAGATCTTGATAGGGGGCGGGTCTTCAGCAAATGACTCTGTTTCCAGAGTGCAATATGATATTTCACCCGCAGCTAATAAAAATTCTGATGTTACTGATGTCACTAAAGCACTGCAAGACTCCAGCTCGGATGAAGAAAATGATTCTGACATTGATCGCCGCCGTCGTATGCTTCGCGAAAAGATAAAAGCGCGTGAGTCTCGGAAAGATGAGGTGATTGGCTTCAGTGAGAAGATCTCGCTTCAGCTTATAGAACCGAAAATTGTAAAGCGAAGTGTAATATTCACTTCAACAGAAAAGCCTAGAAATAGTGATTTGGCTAGCAGCAACGACAGTAGCAGCTCGGAGTACGAGACTGACACAGATGAATCAGAGCTTGGTCAAGAGCTGATGAAGCCTGTCTTCGTGCCGAAAAAGGCTCGTGAGAATATGAAGCGGCAAGAAGAGCTGGCAGCAGAAAAAGAACGACGCGAGAAACGAGAACAGGAAAAATTGGAGGCTCGGAAGAGAGAGTCACGTCGTTTGGTTGCAGAAGAAATTCGGCGCGAACAGACTGGAATTGAATGTGAAGCGCCTACTGACGCAGAAATGCCCGATGATACGGATGGTTTGGACCCTGCACAAGAGTATCGCGATTGGGAACTTCGCGAAATGCGGCGCATTAAACGGTTTGAGCCTTTATTGATTATGAATTATTTATATTTTACACCTCATCGCTTGACGCTACAGTGACCATGATTGTAAAGAGTGGCGACGAAAGGAAGAAGAAGAGACCTTAAGAAGGCGCAACATGACACGGGAGGAACGTGAAGCCGAAAATGCGTACGTCATCGACATTTCTTATTCAAGTGATTTGGCTGATAATTTGCTTTTATTTATCAGCAAATTGAAGAACGAGCCTAAGGAGAAGAAGAAACTCAAATTTATGCAGAGGTATTACCACAAAGGTGCTTTCTACGTAGACGACGATAGCATTCGCTCGAAGGACGATGTACGCAAACGAGATGCAAGTGATGCTACACTAGAAGACAAATTTGACAAAGAGATGCTTCCAGCTGTGATGCAGGTGAAGAATTTTGGACGCGCTGGCCGGTAAGCACACTATTCCTATAATAGCACAAATCATCGTTTTCTGATTCGTAATGTGAGCTATTGTTTACAGCACGAAGTACACGCATCTGGCTGACCAAGATACGTCCAGCCGCGACTCGCTGTGGGCGCGCAATGATGACATTCGCGAGAAATATAAGAGCCATCTCGGTGGAATGAAGAATATTGACGTGTCAACGAAGCGACGGAGAAAAGAGTAAGACTTGTACCGACGTTTATGGGACAACGTCAGTAGAAACTGCGCAAGCCGAGTCTTAACGCGTCTTCCGCAGTCTCGCTTTGAGTATATTCATTCAGCAGCAATGCATTCCTCCCAAATCTCACTAATGTGGGCAATGCGAGATCGGTTGGCTAACAGACCTTTTCTCCTCTGCACGATTTATCGATCCTCTTGTTAGCAATATTGTTTTGACTAAGTTGTCATATAAGTGGAAATATCGATCTGGTCGGGCAGTTCTGGAATGTTGACTTCGAAACGCGACTGCACCTTAGCTAGCATTTCTGTGTCCTCCTCGGACGAGATAAAACTTATTGACAACCCCTTTGTGCCAAAACGTCCAGCTCGGCCCACACGGTGAAGATATTGGTCGCTGTCATTGGGAAAGTCGTAATTCACGACAATGTTCACACGCTCGATATCCATTCCACGACCAAACAGGTCAGTCGTTACCAGGATGCGTTTCTGGAAGTCCTTGAAACTTTTGTACCGCTTAATACGCTCTTCCTGAGTGAGATCAGCCGTGATGCATATGGACGGGAAGTTGCACTCATTCAGCAAACGGTTGAGTTCACGTCCACGGTTCTTTTTGGACACGAAAATCACGACCTGATTGAACTCAAGAGCATCAAGCAAGTCGTTCAGCTTACGGTTCTTCTCCGACTCCTCAAGTTTGATATAGTACTGTTGCAGACCGTGCAGGGTCAACTTCGTTTCATCATCGACATAGATCTCCATTGGCTATAAAACAATTCAGAAAGAGATCAGAGTCGATACCAACGTCCTTTAGATTGTCGTCCTAAAGTGTTTCTTACATCCTGGCAGAATTTGCGGCACACAGGACGGATTTCTTTGCTTAAGGTGGCAGAGAACATCATCACTTGCTTATCGTGAGGAGTAGCTTTAAATATTTCCTGAATATCGCGACGCATATCTAGCAATAATCCAAAGATATCAAAACATCATTAACACCAACAATTGAGCTAAATTACAAACCAATCGCCTCCAGCATTTTATCACACTCGTCCATGACAAAGTGCTTCACCTTGTCGAGCTTTAAGGATTTCTCACGGACCAAGCCCAAAATTCGACCGGGAGTACCCACAAGGATGTGAGGCGGGTTGTTTTTTAACGCGTCACGATTCTGGGAGATAGGAACACCTAAAATAACATAATGGAATGACTAACAAAAACTTAACAGAACAGATCTCAGCGAAGCAATACCGCCGTAGAAGACGCCAGTTTTTACATCCACCAGATACTTGCTAAAACGCTCATACTCATGTGCAATTTGGAATGCAAGCTCACGGGTATGACACATAACCACAACACTGATTTGGCCATCAACGGGCTCAATCTATAGCCAAAATTTAGCAATTATCAACTATCCACACCAATCACAAAAAGTGGGATCTCGTACCTGGTGAAGGGTAGCAAGAACAAAGACAGCCGTCTTTCCCATGCCGGATTTAGCCTGGCAAATAATGTCCATGCCCAGAACAGCCTGAGGAATACACTCATGCTGCACTGTACACAATCAACATTACATGGTTCGTCAGCATTTATCCCCGCAACAATGCTTTTTATAGTATCAATACCTTCCGACGGGTGCTCAAAACCACAGTCCACAACGGCACGCAAGCATTCAGGTTTCAGAATAAAGTCGCGAAAACCGGAACTATGGATGCCGACATAATGACCCCTGTAGACAAGATTTCCCGTCGATCATTTTTCACAGAAAGTAGTTAACAAACTGGCTCTTTCCCTCCTTTTAGTAGGAGATTCTGGGTGGGCATGTGAGCAGTCGAACGACCGGTTGGGCGTCAACAAAGACATACAACGGCCTTGTCCGAGGTCCTTCGCAGGCAAGCAAGCGGACGAGGAAGAGCCGCGTTCCGCATCGCTGTCTCCTCAGCTCTGCGCCCCCGTTTGGCTCAAACTCCCTTAATATCGAAAAAGTGAGATGTATTCTTACTTCTTAGCGTCTTTTCCTTCGGCAGCGGCCTTAGAAGAGTCCGTCGTTGTCTCCTCTTCCTCTTCGTAGTCAACTAACTCGTCGTCAAACTCCTTGTTTTCCTCACTCGGCATATTTTACTAAAAATGTCCTGTGAATGTAGGTATCAATCGACAAGTCTGTTGGCGGTGGGGAGCTTTTGGTTGTGAGAGATGCAATCTTCCAGTGTGTCTGTAATCAAAATAAGGCAAGGCGACATCTGTCGCCTTCCAATTGGCTAGGAAGATGATCAGCAATATAGCCAATGGTATAACAGTAAAGTTAATACCCTGTACAAGACATGGCGACGCTAAGCTCAACAGCGTCTGCGGGTACACCAGGACTTGTCATGGAGACTTTAGGCTCCACTCGATCAGCGCTTATCATAGGTGCGTTCTCTTCGTGAAATTTACTAGTTATTGATCTCACATTGCAGCTGAATGGATGCAGACGGATCGTACGCGATGATCGGGGCGCGCGACCTGGTATGGAGAATAATGAGAAAGCGACAAGTTGTTTATATGTTTGGTTCGGTACAACTACAGGGCGGTAAAATTGATTATACGAAGCTCCGGGCAACATTGGAAGAGCTGTCCTCAAATCAATTTGGCGGTAACTCACTGGTTCTGTGCGCATCCCAATCTCACGGATTTTAATTGACTTTGTGAACTAGATTGCTGGTTTTTTGATCAGAGCCCGTCTGCCTCAAGGGCTTATTCAGCGATGACGACAGAATATCATATGCTGAAGTTCGCGCCTCCGGATGGGCCTCAGGTATTGCAGTGGTTTCAAGAAGGTGTCGCCAACTAATCACATGTTGTTTTGAATGGCTGATGGTAGTTTCAAGTAAGCTTGTTTCCGATGAAAAAATATAGCTGTCACTGCAAAAGATGTGGCTTCAATTTTACGCAAAATGTGCAGAAGGGTGTCGACAACGGGTGCGTTCACATATCGTTCTTGGTTGTGTGACACACGAATACTCACATGCTGGATTGCGCAGAATCGCAACAAAAATTTTGTCGCTCGCTTATGAAAATGTACGCTATGTCTTTGGGTCCTCTTCATAAAGCGAACTTGCAATTACGACTTTGTGAACTATATGCAGATATGCGATCGGTTTGTTTTGTTTGCGGGTACGCATTTGTACTTCTAAACATTTGTAAAAAGGCGATCGTGATAAATATGTGTGTGAGTAGGTGATGGCGACTTTTATAGCTCTCTCAGCCTCGTCCGAAACGTGCTGCGAAAGGAAATTTGGGTGATGGGTAAAAACTGCTTGCTAGGTCACAATGATGGCACTATTGAATTAATCACTAGCTGATCAGGCTACAGAGGAAAACTGTCTGGAGACTTGCAGCAACTGGCATCACGAGTCTTATGGATGGATGATTTGTGGTCCCAAGTAAAATGTCCTCGACCAAGACTTGCGGATGAATCATGTCGAAGGGAGAGAGTTCAGAGAAACCAATGGCAAAAAAGCGAAAAACGGATGAATGAAGTCGTGTGGGTGGAGGATCGTGAAGGCGAAAGTTCTGATATAAGTTTTGATAAATGTATACTACCCAATGGTGCCGAGGAAGTTGACAGTGGCCGACAAGTTATCATCACACCAAGCGTGAACGATGTGATAAGCCACTCGACACGAGGAAGATCTCAAGGACGCTTTAAACCGAAAGGTCATGGAAGAAATGGCCGAGGACGAAGTCGCTCCCGATCGAGGGATCGTATGCGCAGAAAACCACCTAGCAGCGCAAGCGTTGCCAGATCATACACTAGTCCTGATATTGTAGCCTCATCAGCTCGCGCATCAGCGGATAGAACAATGGAAAATAAAAAGGATGCGACTGAGGAAAAGAGAGGAACCTCTGTACGAAACGATAAAAAACGAAATGGTAAGCATGGTGAAATGTGCTCCACCTGCCTTCTTGGCCTAATTACATATTTGATAGTTGCAGACAACAATGTGTTCGAGCCGGCTAAACGAGGAAAGCAGAGTAAAGAGCACACTGATATTGCACCATCATTCGCTTTGTCAGACATCAGCTCTGATGAACAAAGTGAAAAAAAACCATCGACGCTGTTGCCTGTGCCACTGAGACCAGTATTCCCCGTTGTAACAGCACAGGACTGTGATAGTAGAATCGACCATGGTGGCCCTTGGAGTGCAATTATTAATTTGGCATCCGACACAGATAGTGACTGATTGGTGAATCAAGTCGATGAACAAGGTGACAAATCTTGCACTGTATTGCTGATTTCGGGTGTTTGATTAGTGGTCTAACGGAGAGGAATGACGTAGCGTTTGTTGCCGATGGCAACTTGAACAGCTGCTAATCTTATTGTCGAGCACCGCGGTATTTGCACATGCTCGATCCGTTGTTCGGAATTTGTGATTCTGTCACTGTCGTCCGATGATAGTTCTGTGAGCTCATTACCCAATGAAGAGGCGATGCTCACGTGCGGAATAGGATTCTGTTTTAGATGTTCAATCACGACAAAAGGGTAAGACATCATCGAAGCCAGTACTTCGTCGCGCTCAAGCGCTATAGAACACGTGACGTACCTTGTAATAAGTTGGCAATTGGAAGTGCGCGAGGCACTGATCCACACAGCGAAGCACTTGAGTAAAGTACTGCTTTCCCTCATAAACTTGAAGCGCTAGAAACGAGCGTGTCTTAGCATCGTTGGATATTACGAGAGCGTGCCGCAGAGTTATTCGAAACCTGCGTGCGTATGAAAGTGTAATAAGTTATCGGTTGCAGTAGACATCCTCTCCATAGATTGAGTATCAGCTTGACACCTTTGTCGCCATTTGAGCGCAGCACGTAGTGAGTCCACAAAATCACCTATCTGGTTGTAGGTGAGGACGAATGGCCTCGAAAGACTCATGTGTAGAGGAGTACTGTCAAATTCCGTAGATGAATCTTCATGTGGATCAAGCTGAACGAAGGGTACTAGTTTAACGGCACCACCGGCAACCCTCTGGACAAGTTCAATAGTGTATTTGGCGTGTTCATGAAGCTCCTGACTTAATGCAATGTCGAAGCGTACGTGACCTGGCCAGTTACCATCTACATGAGGGAATACTCGTCGCCATTGCGATTCATTAATACGCTTCCGTTTGACGCCAGCTCGTGCAGCATCGGCAACAGTGGAGCATGCCACTTCGCTGTCCGACGAGGTGGAGGCATCGTCTTCTGATGATGACTCAGACGACGATTTGTACGTGTTAATAATGGACTCCATTATAAATATGGAAATGGATAGGTGGAAAAGGACACATCGGAATGACTTGTATTGATAAAAAATATATAAAAACTCAAACTTAGGTATCTTCAGCAAGAACTTCAGTAATCTGCGCCTCAGACGGAGGCTGTCCTGTAATCAACTACATAACATAATTACATGTGTCGGTGCAACACTTGTCATCACCAAATTAAAGGCTGCGTACCTTGCACACAAAGTTAAGAATCTGAATCTTGCTGACTTCTAGATACGTCCTTGGACCATACTGATAATACTTAATCTTCTTCAGATCCGCATCAAGCTCCGACGTAGCGTTTAAGTAACTAACATAACGAGTGTACAGGGTAAACGCGTGTAAAATTTAACGATCATAAAATTATCTTTACAGCTGGCTTTCAAACGTCTTGAATAGCTGCGAAATGTCTCCTAGCTGTGGGTGATGGACTTTCAGTTTCACCTCTGGATCCAGGCGACTTAATTGTTTCCACAACTCATCTAAAACGCACGGAGTTAGCTCGTGATTCACAAAGATGTGGGAAATCCACTAAAGCGAGCGTGGAACATTAACGCACCTTCTGAAAGTTGTCGCGCAGGGGCGCACCACAAAAGGCCCAAGATCACCATGAGGAATCCACGTGAAGCAGCTTTTCCAGTTTTGTTCATGAGCAGCAAGTGCTCCTGCGACGACGCGTTGTTTAGCACTAGATACATCTCTTTGCCTGACCTATCATCCACGTGCACTACTCGGTATCCAAACACGCGTTCAACCTTATGCTTCGCGAAGTAAAAGAAGTATCTGTCTCAAGAATCCACCAGCCTCAATCAGCACACTGTTTTGGTATCGCCAGAAAATTTTGGCCTCACCTCGATACATTCTTGTATTGTGGAAACACATCCTTGCTGATGTCCGAGAACCTAAATGGCAGTTTCAAGCCGCCCTTGTATACTATGTAGCGAACTAAGTTGGATGTGAGCACATCCAGCGCCTATGTCAATCCACTGCGTCAGCTCAGACAGATCATAAATTTGTCAGCCTGTCCAGTACGCGTTACCTTATCTGACAGCTTATGTAATACTTTGGGCTTGCTTGGCTCCTTATTATTGTCTCCTTCGTCATCAATATCGCCAACGAGCAGCTCTTCCTGGCTCATTGGTCCTGTATAGTTCGTCTGCGTAAAATCTAAGACCGCCTCATCATCTTCCTCGTTGTCATTGATGTCTCCATTCTCTTCGTCGTCGCTAGAGCCGTCTGCTACAGCAACATATGTAGGTACCACTTCATCGTCGCTAAGGTCTTCGCTATCAGCTAAATTTTCTGCTCATTGACAGGCTGCTCGATAAATATATGTAAGAATAATTTATATTTACGACAAAAGCATACGGTGACGCGATCGCTTGCTGCGCTGTGTGGCTTCTTCGCGCCGGCGCTTCATTTTGTTGTACCCCGCCCAATGTAGTAATTGTGGTACTTGGACAAACTCTAAATACTTTTCAGAAAGTAAATAGTCGCTTGATATTAATTTGATACGTCACTCCTAGCTGATTCCGTATCTTGCTCGAGAATTGGCTTTGATATTTTTTGGAAATCAATGGAATCTCAAAGCCAGACCTCCGAGAACTTTTACGGATGTGTTACGTTAGACTGTTGAAAATATGATTTTACTATTGAGATCAACCGATCGGAGCATAGATCGTAAGTACAATTTAAGCCATCATAGGCATATGCCGATGTGAAGTTACGACTAAAATTAGTGTGCAAGTAGATTCCAAACTTATCACCTTACATCTTCTTTATAGCGCACAAGAGCCCAGCAAACAGGCTATGAACCCAACGAAAAAAGACGCAGCTAGCTCGGAGGCTGTTCCCATCCACCTACACTCCCAAAAACAGCGAAGAGCTACAAGAAGTCAAAGTCGCAACGGACATCCTTGGTGAAACTTTTACTTGTAGCGTTCGTGGGATATTCCCGCAATGTGACTGGCTGGAGACACGACCTTCTCATCATAAGTGTAGATTCCCAAGAAGTAACCATCAATCTTTCATGACTAGTCTTGACATCATCCAATGATGTCATACGTGCATGTGGGATCTGTCGAACTGTAACCCCTTTGTTATTTATCCACAAAATGCACGTCGAAGGAATTGTATATCACAGAGATCCACCTTCGCGTAATGGATTTGTATAACCCACTTACTAGACCCATTCGTCGCACGTATCGCCTCGTTGATGAAGTCACTCTTGTGACATGCGATGGCTCATAGTCGGAGCAGCGGAAAATCGCATCCACCACCACAATACGAAAATAATGGTTTCTACCTAATTGGCAAAGACGAATAAGCATCTTGTTATTCTCGATGAGATATGTAGCGATGACATCATTGTGCTCAACGACTAGTACTCGGCATTTGCTTAGAGTACAGCACAATTTACGGCAAAGCTTAATACATCACAAACACCATGAAATGAACGATAATGTATTCATAACGGTAAGGATTGATGTACCGACGGGGCCTTTTACTGCATTAAAGGTCGCCTACCCCAGCACTGCTTGAAAGCTTTTCGAGGGTGGTTGGTGGGTGGCGTGCCATGTAGGCATCGTATAAAGTATACTTGCGCAAGTTGTCGATTAGGCTAATGCACATTCATAAGTCCTTTTGAGATATACCACTGTTCAACAAACAATCACCCAAATCTTCGATGGTGCTGCCTGTAGACTATGCTTTTCGATGAAACAACCCAAAAAGAAAAATTGACAGCGCCAAATACATACATCTCTACACAGCCGATATGCTTGTTTACGCGCACTCACCGGAATGTATAATGTGGATATCCACAATTTCTCGTATTTTGCACGACTATAAGCGATCACATCGTCGAAGGTAGGCACGATGTGATCCGAACAGTAATTTTACCACATGGTTGAGTCTCGCTGGTGCGTTCGACAGTCCTTGGGGCATAATACGTCCCTACTCGAAGTACTTGCCACGACAAGAGGGTTATAGCAGGATTATTAGCTGATAATACTACCCGTCAGGTGAAGGACACCGAACAAGGTGCAGCCACAATTATGCCGTTTTAAGCACATTTATTATGAAAAATGGTGTCTGCGCCGGAAGAGTGGCTGCATTTAGCTTATTATAAGCTTGCACAATTCACCTGCAGAAATGTTTTTGAATTATTATCTAGCGCCAAGTGTGATGAAGACTCTCATACCTAACATGTTTTGTGCTTTACACGAAAACAACGTCAATAACGTTACACCCTTTTCGTGGTAAACGCTTTTGTATCGTGACGCAGTCTTGTTTTCAGGATATCGCTAAATATTTGACGCACAGCACAATTCGAAGGTAACATCCATGAGAATATGTTTATATCTTGCCGCACGCCATTGTTATCGGCAACAACGAGTAAAAATGATTTGCAGATTAATTGAGGATAGCTATCAATTTTTCGCATTCATGAACCGGCAAGTGTCGTTAGTTATGGGCTCACCCATGACGAATGATGACATTAGCTCCTTCTTTGGTGATAAATATAATAACTTACCACTTAAACGCATTAAATATCGTTAGCGATTAACTCTTCAAGCTCGGCAAGAGCTTACACCGGAACAAGAACGAGAGGATATATCAGCGAAGGATCTATCGGTCATTCCATTACGAGTATATTTATCTTCACCACCCGCGCGGCTGGTCCGTCATATTGGAGTGCTTTGGTTACATTAAGACAAAAGTGGACCATTTAAAAAACATCAAGACCCGGTGCTTCTGATTGCAACTCACGGTCCCCCGTCTTCATTATCCTTGGCACAGAAAAGCTCTACATAAAATTTCATTTTTTCGTCTCCACCGGCTTTGTTGAAGAATAAACTAGCTTATAGTTCTATATGATCGACATTTCTGTCTCAGCAGAGATTCACTCATGAGACCGCAATACACGCTCGCTATCTCTGAAGAGGACGGCTCACTGCCGCTTGTGTCATCCAATCTTTACTCACAGCACCCATAAACATCATGGCTAGAGTCTTCAGACTATTCAGCACCTAGTTCATATTATCTTTGTGCCTGTGCCAAAAGGTTTCTTACTCTTTTCTTAGTCGGGTTCATCAAAATCATAATTACCAGAAGATATGTGCGTGACGCTTGTTCAGTCGGTCCATAGCTCCGCGGAGTTCACGCTACACCTTATCTAGGATGCGATCGAATCAAACAGGTCCAGGGACAGACAACGATACACGCGGTCAGCATCGCTTAAATTACAGCGCGCTTCTTATGACTTTTTATACTCTCACTGGTGCTAAGTCGCACAACGTGTTGATATTGTTCTTCATTTAGTAAAATTAACACCGACATATACTGTGAACTGTCACGCCCCGTACTAAATTCCACGACTCTCCTGAATCGAGACTTTCTACGACTTTACAAAACGCAGGACGTTGATGTTAGGAAAAATTTGCTTTGTGGGTCCACCTAAGATAGAGATGGCCGCATCGTTAAGTTTTGGTCCCATTAATTTTTATCTCGATAGAGTACATTAGAACCTTTTTTGCGGAAGGCCACCCTGCACGTGCATGCATTAGCGAATTTTCAAATGTGGCCTGATCACTCGTACCATCAGCTGAGGGAGATGAATGTTCGCGACGCACAGATGTTTGATACTCCTCCAAATGTATAAGTCAGCTTTGGGACCTCTCTCTTCTTACTAATCATAGCGGGGATTGTTGCATCTGGCACCTTCGTAGGGACTCCACCTCCTAAATTTCAAACGACCCTCGCGGCGCGGAAGCTGCACTCCTCATTTGACTTGACACCGTTCGCAATTTGAAATTGGTTGATTGGAAGCGGATCGTCTCGCTGTCGCATCTGCTGGGATACCACCCATTAAAATGGGGATTTTTACCGCCTTCTGAAGTGGGTCTGCCGCTATCGCGGCAATAAAAATCCGCAAATATTGAAAACAGCTAGTTCCTTGCATCACTCAATGGATGGATAATAATCTCGAGCGCACACAGTATGTCTGCGATCACCCACAACATATGTCGTTTCTCATATCGAAAATGCCAATTTTTCAGAGGTAGTGCACGTTGGGTCCATTCTCGCGCTGGGTCTTTAGCTTAAAGATCGCCAGCTCTTAGCGCTATTATACGGCTGATCTCACAACCTTCTGTACACAGCGAGATTTTTTGCCCCTTCCCTATTTGGGCATAACACATAATATGAATGGCTTAACGTGAAACGGGGTGACATGTACCCTTGCAATAAAGGGCGGCACGCACAATCTTGTGCGACCGTACATAGGTGTGTATTACACAAGTTGGTGTAATACACAGCGGTGTGGCCACACCGAAACAAGCTGACAGGATTGCCAGTAGTAATGCAACCTTAAAAGGTCCAACGTGCCGTGGACAGAACTTTTTCTTAAAGACAGCTGTTACCATATTTATTAGGTATTACTATATTAATTGGGAGAACTTCGGTTTAAGATATTGGCGACTCTTCAGCAAATAAACACAGTTTCAATTTCAAGCAGAAATGTTCGTTTGCCTTAGTAATGTTAGTAGTACTTAGAGGCAGCGGATTGCGATCCGGTACACTCGTACTGGTTTTTGAGAAGAACGTAAAGTCGGTGACCTTAGCTTAGCTTCCTCTAAGCCAAGAGCTACGGCAGCCCCGCTGCATAACGGTTGAAACCAGTTGTGCTTCCACCAATGTCTGGCTAGGTTACACTTATTCTTGTTAAGCAAATCAAGGAAAGCACTTGTCGAATGCTGTCTTCATGCCTTCGAATGCTTTATCCTTCAAGACCAATAATGGCATGAGCTAACTAAGCTTTTCTAGCTTTCTCGGAAGAGAATGATCGAGCACATATTTTCCATTCTGAAAAAGAACATAGTCTACTCAAACTCGGTCGTTGTATTGAAGTCGGGGTTGCCATCCACCTTTCACAGAGAAGCTAACTCTCAATCTTTCCGCCTGACAAACACACAAAGGATGGGTTCGTAAATTTTATCCAGGAGCAGAACCGAGCGTCTCTGTAGTAAGCATACTAGTTTGCTTTACTATTTCAAGAGTGACATTTAAGTGTTCTCGAATTCACCACTTTCATAATTTGAGGTTAAAACCACATATTACCATCGTTTATCTCTTCTGACACGCTGGAGGCGCTGTGATACAAATCGAAAATCCTCGCGAATAGTGGTACAAATGTTTAAAGCACTCCGAATACACAATAGTCTTGATGGCGATGAAATTTTTGAAGTCGTTGGCATTGGCGCATGTATAAAATAAAATATACATGTGCTCAAATGTAAAATGTCTATGACTTTGGAGCGGGCGAAAAGGAAGATGCCACTGTTTCCAGGCCGCAGTGTAATTTTGATGGTGCTATAAATATTCATATCATGTTTTTGCAAAGATTTAACGTTTTTTGCCACATTCAGCAATTTTCTTCAATTCAGGTCTTGTTAAGTGAGTAACGTACATATTGCACTTGGTTGTTGGCAATTGCGGCGCAGAGTGAAAATTGATTAGTCGTGGATTCATTGTAAGCTGCGCGAGGATTTACTCCCGAAAATCGTTGCCAAGCGTCCATAGATCGTAGATTGCCCAAGGCATAAGTCTCAAATTGTTCCAGCTGCCCATCCAGAACCGATACAGGCAACCCAAGGAGCCTCCGAATACGACGAGTGGCCGTATCTGATCTGCGCTGACGCCACTGTTCTATGTCGCCGTTAGTGGGACCCAAAGCCTTTGGAAACGGAGCATCTTTCCACTGATATCGAGCAAAAACAACGTCTTTGTTCGGAGCATAAAAGTCGTACCCACGAGTCCAGAAACGTGTTGCGCGCGCGTATTCGTACCCAACTAAGATGAGCGGGGTATGGGGATCCGAGCGTACATCAAAAAGTGCATGAATCGGGCCGAAATGGAATAGTTCAGAATACTGGGTCTGCAAAACGGGCGAATACAGCGCAGCTCCTTGACGTGGTAATGGCTCAGGTGCGTTAAACTCGACCACTGCATCAAAAGACTTGGAATGGATGCGTGCTGAGCATTGCACAAGCACGGTAGCATTACTCAAATTGCGTGATTCAATGGCCCTGGGTGCAATGCTCAGAATAGCCATATCATTACCCACACTATACCACTGTTTAAGTAGCTCAATGTCCCACTTTTCCGTAAACACGACGATCGCTGGATCTATTGACATATAAAAATCGTTCGCAAATTTACGCTCCACCAAACTCTCGGCCACATATCGAGCAACAGTAAATCCAAGTGCCCCGGACGCATCCCTTTTTTGCGCACGAAGCTGCCCAGATCGCAGCAATTCCTTGCAGTCCGTAGACTTAAGCTCACAGTACCGTTGCACGCATGTCGGTTCCTGGTTCAGATATAGCTCCTCAAATACGCGAAAGTGGACCCTTGACGCAAGGTATGCTTTTGCACGTGCATCAATGAGAGACTGGGCACATGCATTGCTGTTCTGGTAATGAGCCAGCACCATCACGATCTGTTTTTCGTCGTGGAAACCGCGCGTCTCCCTCTGATCTTGCACGGTGTGCTGGTGCTCATCGACTAGCTGCTTTGGGTACTGGAGACTGTGCGACTGTTTCACGTCAGTCAAGTTCGTCTGGTGTAGCATACGATGCGGAGACGCCACTTCCCCAGACGATCTCGACGTAGGCAGCTGCATGACCAGGTGCCACGTTATCATGACGCACAGGCATAGCGCAGTAATTATCACGCCTATGATAGCGCGACGCCGTCGGACCAGTGCAGCCTCCTTTAAGGCCAATCCGTGATTATAAGATTGCGGGAGTCCCAATGCCAACGTGGGTGTCTGAAACGTCATAGTTTCAGAAGTGGCAATTTGCATTCTATCATCCTAACATTTTACCTACCATTACGAACAGCTTACATAAAAAAAAAGTTTACAGCACGCGGCAACAGACTTTTAAAGGTGGCGGTATATTATGAATGAGAACGGCAAGCGAGTGTGGCCACGCCACCGCTGAATTAAAATGCTGCTGCTATTGATCTTCGACTGATCCTCGCAGACATTGTAAATATGTAAAAATAAATAATACGTCTTTGTAAGGTGATAGAAACAAGAGATAGGAAAAAATCTTTAGGGATCTACGATCTGTGTTTCCTCGTGGACAAAAGGGATCGGCCAGCGCAACCGTGCCTGGCACTGCCAGTTGATGGTAATGAAAATCATTTTGAGACGCTGTGCGAAGCAAGAGTTAATCTGAACAGCTGATAGAAAATTAGAGCCCTTGACGCAGGAATAGACTTGCCTGTTGAACGACTACATTTTGGTGCGTCAATTAACAATGCCAAGTGCTTGGTTTGTGTTAATGGGACAATTGGTCTGCGCCGTCATGATGCTGCTTTTCAATGAAAGCATTTGCGTCGTTTGAATTAGGCGATAAATCACATTGCTTAGTAGATGCGGCATGTGTCCCGAGCCTCAAAGCAATCGTTTCAGGAGAACTCTATCAATAGAGATTTGTTCTCTTCATCATCACGTCAGCGGAATAAACTAGTAAATAGTATATTAAATTGCAGAATGTGAATTCTCTGGCAAACGGGGTACAAATGTTCTAAGGCCCCATCAAAAAGTAATTTTTAGTGGATTCTGTGGTTGTACGTGGCTCTTGTGTACGTTGATACACGTTTGCCTCTGCACAATCAAACTGCTGTCAACATGACTGCACTACTTAGAGCTTAGCTTCATGTTTAGAGATATTTTCTCTTAGGTTCTTTAAAAGTTAAGACACAAGTATTCGAAAGGCTAAGCTCGCGTCACAATTCGATTGAGTATTGCATGTGTCAAAGCCACCATCGTTGTGAGCAGCAGAAAAAAGAGAGTCATATCCTTAGGCTGCGGATGAAGTAGCCAATGGGACAACACTGCAACGAGAATAAGAGCCGTGACGTAGCCCAACATTTCAGCTAACGAAATTACACCCTGCACAGCACCATTCCAGCGATAAGTTGATGGTAATGACGTAAGAGGCGCGACAGTTTCTCGCACAATTTCATGGCATAATTCTTGAAGGCTTACGCGAAAAAGCGCATCGGAGGCACCAATCAGCACAATGTTTGGCAAGGTCCAAAGAAAGGTAAAATCCGAGTGCGTAGCTCCACATATGCGTGGCGTCTTGGAAGGCCACTCTCCTGTCTGACGACGATAAAGTTCTACCACACTTGACAGAAAGACGCAAATGAGATATAACAGCATCGCAACGCACATTCGTGTG